GTGTGCGGCCTGCCTCCGTCCGCCGCAGCCTCTCCTCTGCCAGATGTGCCGTGTTTGTTCGGGGAAGGACCGGGCGACCTCACGTTGCCGTCCTGCTGCATCCCGTGGGTTCGTTTCAGCTGCCGGGCGCTCGCTATCAGGAACTCAATCTGATTTGCTCCCTCGTAGTTCACGCAGCCACGGCACACCACCTCGCTGAAGTCCCACACCACAGTCCACGGCATCTTGGGCAGGTCGCACAGGTAGCACCACTGGCGCCTGGAGGAGGAGGGCGACGACATGGCCGTGCTAACGCGCTAAGCTACACGATAACCTATTTATCTTTAACAGGTGCACGCCCTCTTTGCTGACGACTTTCTCCTCCAACGGGCCTCGAACTACTTCAAAAACACGTTACACATTCCACGGATATAAAATCAGACGAAACGTTTGAGTTGTTGTCGCTCTTTTTGCCCCATTTGTTTGTTTTGTTTACCCACTTCGGCCTAGCTCTTTTGCCTGCTGTCAACTGCTTCCCAGACGGACGCTGGGACGTTACGTAACCTTTCGAGGTGCATTGTGGGTGTTGTAGTTTCCTCGCCCGGTGTGGTCAACGCAAACCTTCCCGCTGTGCCTGCTTTTGGAACTACAACCCCAAAAAACTGGCACGGAAGTGAAGAAATTACAGGTCACAGGTCAGTTTGGCGTCAACACATGTGCGCTCGTCGTAGCCACGCGTTTTTGTGGTAGGAACACTTTTAAATTGAGTTCTTTTGCGGTTGTTTAAACGCAAAAATGCCGAGGAACATATCGTCTTCGTCGAGCGAAGATGAAGCGGACAGCCCTGCTGCAAAATCACCCGTAAAGCAGAAAGAAGCCGGTAGGTTCTGGTGTTGGTTGGCTGATGTGCTAATGGTTCGTTCAGTTAGAGCAGAAATACAGTGCTAGTGTTAATACACAGTACTGTAGGCTGTGACTTATAATAACATGGGCTCCTATTCTTATTCTATTTTTTACCCTTTGACTCATTAAAACAAAATAAATTACTGCCATGTGTTTAGAGTTTAGATATGTTTGAATAAAAATGTGTAACCACTCTGTTAGTTAAGCTGTGACTGACTCTGTGTCATCCTGTATTTAAGATAAGAAGAGATAACATCACACACACGTTGTCTTTAGGTGTTCTGTGTATGTCTAATGTGCTGTGTTATTTTACTGGTGAAGTGATGGAGACGTGCTGTTTGCATCCACAGATAAGCAGACCACCACCAGGTACCAGTGTCCAGCTGACTTTGTGTCTTTCTGCCATAAGCCCTGCAGCAGCACTCTCACACAGAGTCTGAAGAGCAACAACAACGAGTTATGGCTCATTAAAGCTCCTGCCAGCTTTAACCCAGAATGGTGGGTACAACCTTTCCCCGTCTCTGTCGCATTTAATCTAAAGCTCTGCATACACTTCAGTCTACTAAACACCAAATTATCTCTCAAGCTGAATAATAAACTGGTTTTGATGTTCTAACAAAGATTAACATCACGAGGATTACAGTGGATCACTGCTTTTTTTAAGATAGCGTAAAGTTATGCCAATAAATTAAAGTGAGTCAAAGACAACCCTGGCTGAGAGTTACAATGAGGGAATAAAGGTAAATGCTCAAATGAAGCCTAATAGTAGCACATTTAGATAAGATTCACTCCGTAATGTTAAACCGCAGACTTTGGTAGACTTTGGCAGGAAAGCGCCACAACTTACCCTGGCGAACATCCAACATCCATAAACTGTCCTCTACGAGAAGGACCAACGTCGTCTTCATCTGCTGAGGACACTGAGGTCACTTTGGTGTGTGCAGGACTCATTTTATGACACTCTGGTGGCAGTAGTCTGTCGGGGAGCTGGAAGCACAGAAAGGGACAGAAAAAGACTCAACAGACTGGTTAAGAGGGCTGGTTCAGTCCTGGACTGCCCTCTAGACTCCATAGAGGAGATGGGTGAGAGGAGGGTGTTACCCAAGCTGATGTCAATCATGCACAACACCTCTCACCCCCTGCATGAGACTGAGCAGCTCCATCAGCAACAGACTGCTGCACCCACAGTGCAGGAAGGAGCAGCAGCAGCTGTCAGACTCTTTAACTCAGCAACAGCATAATGTCTCCGTCTTACGTCTTACACACACATTATTATTAATAGTAGACCTGTACTTTGTATCTGTATCTTTCTATCTATTTCTAAAAGTTACAAAGGCCTTGTTTCTACCAAGCAGTCAGGTTCAGTTCAGTGTCTCCCCACGGTACCAACAGAACCATTGTAATCTGTCCTGGTTTTTTCGTACCTTTCTGTTGAGGTATCTTGCACTCTGAACCGGGCCACACTGCAGACCACTGATTCCTTATAAACAGTCTCTGCAGTAGTATGTGTGGTAACGTAAGAGACTTGCCCTGGGAACTGGATGGTCCCCAATTCAGGTCCATCATGCACAACAGTATGGAGTGTGGTAGCTAAAGAGGTGCCAGTTCCACCTCCTGGGCACTGCCGAGGTGCCCTTCAGCAAAGCTTCATCTTCATCTTCATCATAAAGTGACAGTGGAGCAGCTGGAGACAGGCTTCATCACATCAGTCTGAAAGGTTGTGTAGTCTGGTGTAAACCTTTCCCGTTCTGTTTCGTGTGAATGATGCCTAACCCCACCTCTCTTCCGTCCATCCAGTTTCAGTGGTGTCAAGGTGCCCCTCTCAGGTCTCCAGACCCTGAAGGTTCCTGCCGCTGCAGGCGGAGCCAAGACTGGGAGTGGGCAGCAGATCTACAGCATCCTGGCGTCCACCCACGGTACCTCAGAGCTCCACCTGCTCACCAGTGACGGGCAGTCGTCAGATAACGTGGTTTTGGGCCCCGCTTTTTCAGGCCTGCTAAACGTGTGTGAGAGCTATGGAGACAGCAGCGCCAACCAGGCCCCTCAGGTCATCCCCGCCACTCCAGCTCCCTCCATACCGCCAGGGCTAAAACAGCGATTCCACCCCTTCGGCAGTAAGACCCCCACGCTGACCTGCGTGGCGGAGAGTGAGACGGATGGAGCCGCCTTCGGGCCCTCGTCCGCAACTCTCCGGCCCCTGGTAGTCAAACGGTTCGCGGAGGATACATGGCGGGAAGAGGAGGAAGAAGGGAGGAAAAAGAAGAAGAAAAAGAAAGAAAAGCGAATAAAGTCCGAGCGAGAGGAGGAGTCGATGGAGGTGGTGAGAGTCAAAGTGGAGCCTGTAGCTGAAAGTGAGGACGGAGTGACGATGGAGGTCCCCATCCAGGAGGCCGAAGAGAAGAGGAAGAAGAAGAAGAAAAAGAAGGACAGAGAGCGCGAGGAGGTGGAGGAGGGCGTGGAGCCCAGTGCGAGGGTGAAGGTGGAACAGGTAACAGTGAAATGTGAACCAACAGACTCTTTATATGGCGACGCAGTGGAGGGTTCTGGGAAAAAGAAGAAAAAGAAGAAGAAAAGCAAAACTGATGACGACTGACTTAACGTCACTTTGTTTTTTTTTATGTTTAGTTTTCTGTTTTTGTTTTGTTTGTTTTTTACCTTATGTCTGAACCCATCTGAGAGCCAGTTTACTACTAATTCACCCCAGCTTATTGATGGTTGCATAATGCAATGCAATGCTTGCTTTGGCAGGACATTGAATTCAGAGAAAAAAACAAACACATCCTGAATCAATTGAACAGGGAAACAAATTATGCTTATGTCTTTAAGGCCGATGTTCCTATCATTATGAGCTCAGAAAGTGACAGTTTTACACACAAAGAATGTGTGCAACCGCAGTCATCGAACAGTACATGAAGAAGAGTGTACGAAAGGGGAATTTGTGCGGTCGTGTCTGTCAAATTGTGGTAGTTTTTATGGGATTATGCTCACACTCTGTTGCTGTGTTTGTGTACATATTTACACAACCGGCCTGGTAACGTCACGGGTTTGGCAGCCGGTTTAGACAACCAGAGGTGATGTGAAGTCAGAATAATGGTTCATTGTCACGTAAGGTTAGCTTTTCTTTTAAGGATGTGAGTCACATGTATTGTGGAAATTATTTGTCTGCAGGAAACACGTGTTACAAAATAAACTCCAACAGTGGTTAAAGGAAATGAAAATGAAGAAACGTGCTTGTGTTTTTGTCCCGCAGTCTGTCCGTGCAAGTGTTCCAGTGCCGCACAACATTTTCCCCTCCTGCCTTGTTAGAGCAGTGATTTCATCCAGCAAGAATGAAACTTGAACTCGTGTTGTAAGTCAGACTGCGGCTTTTAAAATTGTGCAACAATAAGTAAGTGCACAATTTACAAGCGGTAGTTTTCTTATGATCAGAAGCTTTTGGTGGAAGTTATGTCACAGGGGAAAGCAAGTCTTTTTTCTCTTGAGAGACATTGAATTTTACTAAATTATTTTATAAATTAGCAATATGAGTAGTATATTTGCCAATAAACTGTACTGTAAAATATATTTTTTGACTGGTTCAGAACAAAATGTGTCTTTTTGTAAATATCAGATGGTCATATCACCACTTCTGATGCAATGGAAGCGTCTCCTTGAACACAGAGGCTGAGAAATCTGATGAAAGTGCACTTTTTTTGCACATTAAAGTTTTTTTTGCCTTCCGTTAAATAGGTCCAGTGCAGAGTTTCACGATGATCTTTATGATCTTTTCAGTGGCTTTTCGACTCTGCCATGACTCAAACTATGCAGGAAACCCTTCACGGCTATAATCTGTTGGCGTGCTTAAAGTCGTATTTAAATAATGCTTTATGTCGGCACAAAATATTGGCATCAAGAACCTACAGTGGTTGATCCCAAGTCTATAAATCTCTGCATATCCATCGCCAGCAGAAATTCTTTTCAATTAAATGCAACAGAGAAATAAGCAGTTGTGACAGGGAGATGGCGCCACAGTCCAGCCTGTTTCCTGTGTGGAGCAGCAGCCTGCAGCCTCTGAACAACCTCTTATTATTTATATGCTATCATCTATTTTCACTAATGTAACACAGATCCGCTGTTGCTCTCCAGACACACACAAAGAAAGGATTTATAATTTTTCCATTTTGTGACGGTAGAGAATCATCAGCTATCAGTGAGACTCAGGTGAAAAGTCTCAGTCCAGGCTCTGCATCCTCCCCTCCTCCCTCCCTCCCTCCACTGCTCCCCTCTTCCTGCTCTGCACCGGAGTATGGTCCTGTTTCTTAATGAGCTCAGGCACCTTTGGCGCTATCGCACTCCCACCATCTGTAGTAACCCTCTGCACATGCTGCAAGGCTTTATTGATCCAGCTTCATGTGTGCACAGTATTTCTCCTGCTAAGGGTTCAGCTGGACCCAGAGTGAACAAAACCATGTTAGAGTTAACAAAAAAATTAAACCTTAACATACCAACGAGAATTTTTTTAATAGTTTTCTCCTCTCTCAATTGGACTTGGTTTCCATCTAGATGTCTAGATTTTTTTGGTTTATCAGGCAGCCATTATAGCAGAGAGCCACAGATGTCAGATGCTGGATCAAGCGTTTCCCTGTGAGTCGCATCTA